ACGTTGCTTCATCATATTTAATTCTACTTACGCAAACTCTTCAAAGTTCATTCTTCAATGTAGATATAGATTATATACTATTCAGAACATGATGTGCAAAATAACGTCAGACACTGTCATAAGCGTACAAAAGTAAGATGCTAAAGTTTGCCTGGGAAAAAACATCGGAAAACTTCAAATTTTGGACAAATTTTCGATATGTTTCCAGTTTATATTGAACTCCGATTGCTATGTAACGCAACTGACGTAAATGCAGATTACTGTAAAATCGTCTGTGCGACAATCTCTGCACTCACCAACATTCCAAGTTCCACGGCTAATGCTGCGCACTGTAGAGCTTCGCTTTCACCTGCCTCTTGTGCCTTTCGCAGCGCCCTTGCTCCTCTAATATTCTTCATGTTTCCCAAGCAGACGGCCGCAACGTCTAGACGACGAGTCTTCACACTCATTGACGCCATATGCTCCCAGACACTTTCACTTAAGATCATTATTGATTTCATCATTTATTTTATATAACATAGTTTCCCAGTGAAACTTTTCCCATGATTCTAGTTTTAGAAATCATGGAAAATTCTGTTACTTTGTTCTTTGTTGAGTATGTGCAGAAACCTTTGAGAAATTTACAATTTTTAAGGAGAAAAGGAGCTTAAAATATCAAACATAAATCAAATATATGACTCCGACAAGCTCATAACTGTTAAAAGGTACTGGTTTTAAAAAGAAAAAAAAGCTAATAGAAAAAGAGACATGCCACCAAAGATTCTTCAGAAGAGCTTTCTTTAAAAAATTTTCGAGGTAGCATTGTCTCATAATTTCAATGTTTCTATCGCCCTAACTGTCGAGACGAGTGTAAAATGTTTTTTAAAAGAAGTTTCAAGTATACCGATTTTTTTATTGATAGAAAAAAACCTCTTAATAAATCGAATTGCTTTGAAAGCATCATCCATTTGTCCAATACTAAGATAATAGCAGAAATCCATCATTCCCTTCCTTGTTGCGTCATCGCAGTTTTCAACGCCTGAGAACTCCCGCAAAGACCGAGCTATTAGGAAGCGACCTATAGATTTTTCGCCTCTAACCTCTTCTTCATCAAACTCCATCTGCAAACAAGTGTATCGGATATTAACTTCTCCTTCCTTGTCTGAGCAATGATACCTTTTTTGTAAAATAGAGATTTGGAACAGAAACGCCGATTAGTGCATCTGAAGCGGATGACTTGCGAGACAAGTCTTGCAAGTGCATCCCATGGTCAGAGGTAACAAACATGGTTAGTATCATATCGTCACCCTATAACATTTTTTGGAAACGTAGGTCACTGACTTCCTGACAAAGGCGACTGTGGTATCATCTTTTAACAAAGATTTGAAGATCTCACAACGTGTTGAGAAGAAGCTTGAGCATGGCAGACAAGAAAGCGATCATCGGTCTCATCCCAGAAAATCGATGCAGGCTCATGAAATGGTAATCGGAATCGTGTTTGATCACGCTCCAT